ATTTTGTTACCAACGAAGGAATTACGGCTTCCTCGCCAGTTAAAGTACCTACGAGGTTTCTCCAGGGCAAATTTACAAGGTCTAAACATCAAATGCGAGAGTATTTTAAAGTGGTCGTTATGTGGCTCGAAAAAGCTCTGCGACAGGCTACTTGTTATCGTGACTGTGAGCATAAACCCTACGACTGAAAACAGGGTCAAGTCAATTGCGTAGGACAGACCGATCATAATGCCTCATTCCGTTGACCCCCCCCCTACAGCGAGGTCCCCATTCGTCCCTTATGCGAGCCACAGTGGTCCAGCAGTTCTTTTAGCTCGTCATTTATTCGTAGAGGTTTTATGAAGAAGTGTGACCGTCGAGACCATCAAGGTCCTTCTTCACGATGTTCGCTGATCTTCTGAGAGATACAGTCGGTAAGTGTTCAGGTCCAGCATTTTCACGTCTCACGTGATTGACTCACTGGTTCCGATAGTAATACCTCGGAAGATGAGCGGATACTCATGTGATTTGCATGGCACCCGTGGCCTACCAACTGAAATTATCGGCTACACGCCCGTTGCCAGAGTTGCGCGGTGAGCCGCATTGTGAATGGGCACTGTGCCAATAACTGAGTTGGATGACGTCATACACTGTCGATTAAAACTACTGGAGTTTCGTTATGTGTAACTTTGTTTCATGCTAGCCTATGAATGGCCGTTGTTGAGCAGCTGTGCAGCGCACAGCTGAACTGGCGAATTAATAAGACTTTTGTGAGTGGTTAACACGAAGGTGTGTTTCAGAGCTAGAAGACGCCGCGAGCGAGAAGGGACTCTTGCAGGTGTTTCCCATGAAGAGGGCCTCAGCAGTGATGACGATGAACCAACCAGCCAACAACTTGCTGATCAACAGGCCGCAGGTACGACTAAGCTTCATTGCGCCGTCATTCATTTCAGAACGCCACTCATTCCTAACTAGATATATCTGTTTTTTTTTTCTTCAAAGCGACGCAGGAATGCTGAACCTAACATTGGACTTGTCAAAGACACGAATGTCCTTACAGCCATTTGGAGCGCATCTAATCCTGACCAAATTGATTGCTTTCCCCTCAAAAAAAGGGTCGTCTTCATAAAAAGCTGGAAACCTAATCAAATTAGCGGAACGAACTGCCATGCATATACGTGGCTCTTCGATTGTATCAAATGAATATACTTCTAGCCGAAATCGACACTGCCCTTAACATGGTGTTCGTGGATGCTTTAGACGACTACTCCCACCTTCGGAAAGTTTTGGACAGGTTCGTTCGCTCGTTTTTCTGAAGCGCAAGGTTCATGCTTTATTTCTGATTTGGTAACAGGATGATTGATTGGTTTGCGGTGGATCAAATTGCTTTCCAAGACGCGTACATTGTACTATGCATTCCGAAATTAGCTTCTCCATATGTAAGAATACAGCTGATTACTGCTGACATTCTCAAAGTAGGTTATTGTGTTTTCTTATAGTTATCGTTGTGTAATTGAAAAAGTTCATTTAGCGTGACGACTTTATTCTGTCCTCAATGCCATGGTACGTTGATTGCATCAGAGCTATACAGGAGAACGGTGATGTTGACCCAAAGCACGAAGTGCTTACTGGGTTGATTCCGTCAATAATTGAAAAAGTTGTTCTTCCTTACCTAACAGGTGCGCTCCAATGTTTTTGTTATCCTTTTGTCTCTGAAAAGTATTAATAGAACATCCCCCGTCTCGCGCTCATCTTTCTCGTTGTTTTTTGTTCTGTGTGCTCGAAACGTTATGAAAGTAGTGTCGTCCTTGGTCAAAGGATTCAGCGCTCGTTTTTCCTTGACTATTTGTTGTTGTTTAGATGTAGTTAACGTTGAATGGGAACCGATGTCTCTAAAGCAGTCGAAGCGACTTGGAGCAGTTTTGAGTGGTTTGTCCGATTATCCGAAGATGAACGTCGACGAGAGCAAGTCGTTTGCAATTCTGGGCGGAAGCCGTGAAGGGCGAAAATCAGCATCAGCGATTGATACGATTCTCTATCGTACCATCTATTCGAAACAGTAAGTCACAGCTGAACCTCAGTTCTTTTATATGGCGAACCAGCAAAATTGCTCGCGATTTAAGGTCCATTAAGAACCCAGCAACGGGATGTGCAGCTTTCTTAGACAGGCAGTACTGGGCTGCAATCAAGGTATCCACTTCCTTTGAAAAGTATTTCCGATGTAATCAGATGCTGTTATGTGTAAAGAAGCCAATCTTTGAGTTTCGCCAAATCACTTTTTATCGTTTTCCTTGGTATAAGAGTGACTGCGGACCGGTTTAGTTTCTGGCCTGGAGGTTGTATGCTCGTCTCATGTATCTTTCAACTCGCTAGCAGCTTTCCTCGCGCCAATATGCTTCATTCAGCAAAGTCCTACCTGGGACTACCGACGTCGAGTTCACACCTCAAGCTCGTATTAATGTTCGTTAAGAATCATGCTACCCCCGGATTCGAATGCATACCCGTACGTCACCTCTTAGGACGCTTACTGCTCCCGTGCGACCGACGGTGAATTAGTCGCGAATGGAGTAGCTGTGGCCTTATCCTGCTCAAGAGTTGAACGGAAACGAGATTGAACGCGTCGATGATTAGCGCGCTGCCCGTCTGCAGGCTTGCTTCCGCGCAGTCCTCCACTAGTCAGACTTTACACCGACAACAAGATCCGCAGCCTAAACCTCTCAGTTCAGCCGTAAAGCAACAACGAGAAGTGGAGAGGACGCGTAACTAGGAGGTTCGTGATATGATCAACCCTATTGCTTGTCCGAGCGGCAGTGTGACGCGGTTTGGAGACGGCCACCCTGGTATCACATACTCAGTTACCCCTACTTTCTTGACGCGGAGACAAGTGGCACGCCTACTGCAAGCTCGCGGATTCCGTTCGCGACCAAGCCCTCACATGCAATAAACAGGACCCACGGAGGTGAGTGTAAGTCTGTTTTCAACACCGAGAGTAAACTTGCCGCATTATGGTAAGCGGAGTGGAAGCAGATAGCATAGTCTTAGGGATGTCAATTTCACAATGCGTAATCGAATACCTTGTATTAAAGGATGTACTGCCTTCTTTTTAGGCGCTTGCTCTGATAACTTTTCTGTTGGTCAAGTTACAGGTTACTAAACATGAGCGGCTACATTTACCGACTTTCTGCAGTTAACTGGTTACTTTAGCTTATCAGAGGACTACGATCGTTCTCGTCACTTCCTGAAATCCAAGCCACGCGGTCGGCAAACTTGTGTCCGATGGCGTTATCCCAATCGGGTTTGGGGTAGCTTTAGAAACAGGACTTTTAGCGATGACCATCACTGCCACGTAGGTCTGTATCTTGGGTGATTCCTTCCCGGTGTTTACCGTTATATAGTCTTTCTCCGTGTTTTCAGGTGAAGGCACTAATAGCTGAAATTCCTGATGATATGATTGAAAGCGCTAAATCGGATTCATTCCGAAATCTCATACGATGTCTGGGACGAGGTTTGTTAGAGGAACAGAAGGCAGCAGGAAGGTACATCTTCGCCTGATATTTGATTTTTGAACTATATTTCTATGCTTCCAATGAGTTTTATTCTCGAAAACTTCACAGAATTTTCTAATCAGCAGAGGACGTGCCGAAAGATATTTGGAGAAACTGCAAAAGCAGGCCACGAAAGTGAGTAACAGAGCTCGAATTCCCCGTTATGGGCTATGTCGTGCAGTCTGTAGAAGAAAACTAAGATAAATTATCAGAATCTTTCTTCTGTTTTTACTAGTTGATCGCTTTAGCGTGTCAATATACCATGACAAGTTGAATGCTGTATGGACGCGAAATGAGTCACCCTACTTCAGATGAATTGGCAGCGCAATGAACATAGTGAATTCGATCGCACGAAGGTTGGCGCACTGTGTTTACGGTGATTTTGCGCAACTTCAAAAAAATGCGGCTATAATCCTGATAGGTGATTCGGCGCATTGTGCAAAATCAGCGTATTTTTTTTAATGTTTTAGCTAGAGAATAGGCAAATCCGAGGCAAAGCGCAGACTAGTGTAAGTGTTGGGAAACAGGAAGTGTCTCGATGGCATCTGCAAAGAGTTCCTTTGGTGTAGGTATGCTAGAGATCTCCAACTCAACAAAGAATTTGCCGTCATGCCGCATATACGGGCGTGTGCATTCGTTGCTCAGACTTCATGCAAGGCGCACAGGAAGAGAGAGCACCTAGGCGTGGCTGCTTCGTTGTCTTTTACGCTCGCACTTATGCATTCGTTCGATTTTTTTGACCAGTACAGTCGCAGGTTGCGCTACAGGCAACAGACAGCAATACGGGAGAGCATCCTCTGTAGGGATGAGGCCTTTTTGTTCACCGGAATTATCAGGACGTTCCATATTCTTATCCAAAGAACAAGTCCCATCACCGAACACTGGTAAATTAGTTGGCATACTGATTGTTGCTGGTAGAATCGATTTAAAAATAAATGAAGGCAGTACGATGGTCCGTAGTGGGTCAACAAACTCAGTGGTTTTCTTCATTAGGAATTGTTAACGCATTCGTGTCAGTGCCCCCTATGGATGTCAGAGCAGCCCGTCAGGGGTCGTTCTTAGTCGCTTGATTTGTGTTTATTCGTTTTTGGCTTTCATAGGAATTTTTCCAGGATCAGAAATTCTTTCCCGCTCGAGGCGAATCTTCTTTGGGGGAAGAGGGGAAAATTTTTTGGAATACTGAGAAAGGTGGGAGGGTGTTGGGAAATCTAGGAAGGTGATAGGTACGGTGGGAAGAGGGATCGTCATCACACGGCCATACCACACATCACGATGCTGCACCTTGTGTCAGGGACACATGCCTATCACCTGAGGTTATTGCTAGCTCCTTGGTTGTTTCTGGAATAATCGAGTTAATTAGTGGGAAATGTGAGCCTGATGACTGGTTGACGTTTTACGTTTTATGTGTTTCTTGTTATGTTATAGAGCGATCTTATTATTAGACATTCAGGTAACGTCTTTTTAGATAGACCAAATAGACCAGCAACTGCAGTCAAGTCTTTCTCAGCTGCTCAGTGAACGAGGAAATCTTATTCCGGCAGAACAGGAACATTTTGACGAGCGAACGGAGCAAATAAGGTGCGTCTTACAGTCGGTAATATTGAAAAAAATTATACTGCAGCAGTGGGTCATGGTACCACTATTTTTCTCTAGGAATAGTAACTAGGTTATTTTCATTCAGAAAGCAAATACAAACAGCTATTCGTGTGACGCAGTCGCTTCCTCCGTTGACGTCGAAAAACCCGTTTTTGGAGGAGGATTCCGATGAAACCAATCCGTATGAAGCAGAGAGTAAACGGTTAGCAATCTGGTTGCTTCGTTCTTTTTTACGAGTTTTCTTTACCTCGGTAGTTTTGTATGGTTTGTTAAGTGACTTTTTTGAAACTATTGTGAATAATTATTTTTCTTTAGGTACCTACAAGAGAGTAGCGCACGTGTGCTGGAGATGAAGGCAAAAGCTGAGGAGGCGCGAATGACCGCCGAAGCAACTGCCAAGTTAAACAAGGTAATTTTCGATTGTAGATCCCTGCCGACATGTCCATTTTTCGGGTTCAGTTCGGTATTGTTACAGGATATGCGAGATTTGGAAGATATCTTTGCTGAATTAGCTACGATAGTTCACGAACAACATGAGATTGTAGATTCAATTGAGGTATGCTTTCAATCAGCATTTTTTCGGTCGATTTTGCAGATATACTCAATATAATCTCGTTTAAAATTCTCTTAAGGAGCATGTTGAACGGGCAACTCATGATGTCCGCCATGGAAATGAACAGCTGAAGAAAGCAATTAGGCATAAGACGAACCAGGTATAAAATAATAATTGAATTCGGACAGTGAATGAATT